AGAAAAATAAACGAAAAAAGGAAATAATAGAAATATCGAGATAGAAAATATAATATGAAAAACTAATTTATCAAAAACCTTAAGGATAATTTTTATTCACAGTTTATATATGTTAATTTTTGTTGTCTCTGACGAGAACTCAAAAGTGAAATATGTAAGCGCGTTTTAGTGAATAAAAAAGTTTTACACTTCATAGATATATTATTTGCGCGACATCTTCTGCGCTTGACTCCTACTGCCTATCCTTTCCAATTCTTTGAATAATTGTTTTGTAGATAGAACCATAAGGGATAAGCAAAGGTCAAATCTGTTTTTTTAAATGGAATGATATGTTTTTTTACTTACATTCTGATAAAACATTTTAAGACGAATACAATGACCTATAATTGAAAGTCATTCAAGGTCAATAATGGAAAATAAATTGTTTCAAGGCACTCTTCGAATAATTTCGTGTCTTCTCTTCTTATTGGTACACCGCTAATCGCTCAAGCATATGTAAATATTTACATACTATTTAAATTAAATCGCACATAGCATTATTCATATTTACTGATCAATTTGAATTCATCTATCGATCAAAGTGCGTGTCTTGCGAAATACGTTATACGAAAGCGGAAAAAGTCGATATGATTTTCGTCTATGATGAATGTCGCCAAATTATGAAAGAAGTAGTATGTTTGTGTGCTGAAAGATTTCCCGATCATGTCCTTCATTTTCTGTTTTTTCAAACATAGTACAAACTTTTCAAGAAATAGAAAATGTGATAATAAAAAACGCAAACGAATCAAGAAAGCAACTGACGACGGAAATTCAACGAACATTTTAGCTGTAGCACTAAATCCACATATTATAGTACAAGACAGCTTGAACGTGAAAGTGATATTAATCGACGAAGTGTACTGCGAATACTTTCCAACAAATTTCATCTCTTTCATATCTCACTTCATCAAGAATTATATGGTAATGATTTTCAAAATCGTGTACAATTCTGTGAATGGACACTACAAAGACTACAAGAAAATGATATGTTTGTCACTAAAATCTTATTGACGAAGCTACATTTACGAACAATGGACAAGTAAATCTTTGCAACATGCACTATTGGTCAGTAGAAAACTTGTCCACATTGGATGAGAGAAGTGGACAAGCAGAGACCTTGGTCTATAAACATCTGGACCGGAATTCTTAATGATAAAATGATTGGTCCTCATTTTATCGATGGAGCATTAAATAGTCGCAAATATGCACAGATTTTAACAGAAATATTGCAACTATTATTATAAGATCTTCTACTGAACATACGACAATCAATGTGGTATCAGCAAGATGGATGTCCTGCTCATTCTGCATTATTACTGAATTGCTAAACAGAAAATTTGGAGATCGTTGGATTGGTCAATCAGGAAATAACAGATGGGCCGCACGTTTGTCAGATTTAACAGCTACGGATTTTTATTTGTGGAGAAAGTTAAAACAACAAGTACAATTAATAAGTACAGTTAAAACATACAGCGAAATGCCGATAACAAGAGAAGACATGAAAGAGCGTATAAGAAGAGCTTGCGTTGCGATTGATTCGAATGAAATTCGTCGTAGTGTTATCTATGTTGACACGTTTCAGGAAATGCGTCGATGTTCAGGGTCATTATTTGAATACTTGTTGTAATGATAAGTACGCAAATAAGTAAATTAATGAAATATTCGAAAAATGCCTTCAAACAATTTATTTTCAATTACAATTAATCTTGTCATGTTTAAATAAACCTTCAATGTTATATCATACTGTGATACACTTGAACAATTAGCGGTATATCAACAAGAAGAAAAGATACGAAATTATTCAAAGAGTGTCTTGAAACGATTTATTTTCCATTACATTCAATTATTTTCCATTATTGACCTTGCGTAACCTTCAATTATAGGTCATTGTATTCGTCTTAAAATGCTCTATCAGAATGTAAATAAAAAAACATCATTCCATTAAAAAAAATACATTTGACCTTTGCCTATTCTTTACACCTCCACCTACAAAACAATTGTTAACATCATATTATGTGCCCCTCGAAATCAAGCAACTTTTTGTTTGACACTTTTTCTTCTATTGTTATAAACAAGCGAGTTATTCAGACCTGCCTTTTAAATACCTCTCCCTCTATATATATATACACACACACACACACACACACACACACACGGCAACAATATTAACGCAACACTTGTTCACTCTGTAAAAATAGGCAAATTTCAAGATACAATAACTTTGTCAAAAATTGTCGTATTGAGATGTTTAAAAAAGCATTTTACAGGTAGAAACCTCTACTTTTCGGATCGCTACTTAAAAAAAAAATCTTATGGAGATTTCATGAAGTTACACAAACATAAATGAAGATATATCAGACTAAAAAATTTTTTATGAAATTTGCGAAGCTCCACGGAGTGGACTAAGAATTGTATACAAATGCTATTTACATCATTCGAAAGAGCGAATCTTTACCTTTAATTTGCTTTTTTACGAAACTCTGTACAATTTTTTTTTTTCATCGAGTTATTCAACGTTGAAGCAAAAGGATCATTTTTGCTGAAAAGTAGACGTTTCAACCTGTAAAATGCTTTTTTAAATTATCCTGATATGACAATTTTTGACGAAGTTATTGTATCTTGAAATTTGCATGCAGCTATTGAACAAAATTAGTCACTTAAAATCAGCGTTAAAAAAAACCAAATTCAAATTTCATATCTGCGCGAAAAATGATCGCGAAGCGATATATGAAAAAACATTTTAAAGCCATAACTTCTTTAATTGTAAATAAAGTCTAACATTTTCTCTTTAAAATGATTTTTTATCATTATGCTACAATTTTTTTCACTAAGTGATTTAAAGTGATTTAAAGTGTTGTATATTATATATACAAGGTCTGTTCAAAAAGTATCGCGAATTTTGTGTTTTTTCAAAAATTATTTATTTATTCATGAATATCTATTTTGTCCCCTTCAAAGTATTTTTGGTCAAAAATTCATTTTATCAATGTTTTCGTCTGTTGTTGACGTGCTCGGGCGTCCGGCACGCTCTTCGTCGTTCACATCTTCTCGGCCCTCTGAGAACATTTTGTACCACCGATAAACGTTGCTTCGGTCCAAGGTAGCTTCACCATATGCCACAGTTAACATTCGCGGAATGCGTCCGCGCACTTAATTTTGTTTTTCACACAAAATTTGATACAGATTCTTTGATCCATTTTTTGGAATAGGCAAAAATCGAAGACGAGCCAAAACACGTGCAAGCAAAGCAGCTGTCAAAAATTAACTGAACATTCAAAATGGCCGAACTTGTCGGCATAAGTGAGAGACATGAGTACCAACATAACGCCACAAAAAATCGAAAATCGAATATACGTAACCCGCGGAAATTCAAAATTCGCGATACTTTTTGAACAGACCTCGTATATGTATCAACTATGTGTTTAATATCCATTTAAATATGCACAATATACCTGTTACATATTACGTACGTATTGTATACGTATTTCGACTTGAACATTTCATATCCATTGCGTTAATTACGTATTTAATATATATTTGCAATGAAAGATGCTGTGCGGGCATTTATGGTACTACACTATGTGTACCATATTTAGCAATGCGTTGTTTAAGAACATTTAGCAACGCAGCAAGAAGTAGGTTCGCGAGAAGTAGCAGCTCAAGTTCTAATCCACGATTTCTGGATTTTCATGAATAACTTACTAACAGGCAACTATGATTTAAAGCAAACAATCAAACTACGGAAAGAATTATCAGAGTTGCTAGGATTTCCTGTACGGAAATGGCGAACAAATTATTCTAAAATTCTATTACACTATTAGTAACGCTACTTGTCAAATTTACTTATTGCATTAGGGCCTCTTTCAACAACTTCTGATTAAATTAATCTACGATTAACTCGCAGAAATGCCAACAGAATGTTTAATCAGTTTAATCAGAATGTCTCCTCTATCTTCCTCTTCTGTGTTTAAAATAAGCACAAGAAAAGATTCAATACCAACTTCACGACGCGAAGCAGGTCGGTATTCATAGTCGATTCTTACATTTAAGATTGTCTTAAGTACAGTCTTAAGATGTCATAAGTCAATTCGAGAACTGTATTAGCATCTTAAGACATTATTTAGGACGATTTTAAAATAAAAACGAATATGAATACCGTCCCAAGTTTCGCGTTTCACAATTGTAACCTTTGAACCTTATGAACAGTCCTAAACGGAGAGAGCAGAAATTTAGAAAGAGACACTACCCAACTCCACATACCATGTTATCCCTTCCATCATGGTTAATTTTCGTGAAGAGAAAAGATGTACGAAAAATGACAAAAATTCAGGGAGCAAACATGCATTTTTGATAAATAAAACATATATTAATTATAATTATAATTGTAATTAAGAGAAGAAATGATATATTTAATGTAAGTACTAAAAAAATTTTATTTACTCGTAATATTTTATAAATACTTATAGAAAACTAATAGACTTCTCAACTTTTAATCTTTTTTTAATTACGAACATAATTTATATAAATAATCTATGTCTGATATATTTTTAAACGTAGATATAGTTTTAAACGCATGTTTTTAAAAACTATAAAATTTATTAAAATCAGAAAAAAAATGTAATTTGTTGATATTAATAAGCATATCACAAAGATTGCAATCTCAGTCATAACTCAAATAAATCTCAGAGTAACAGTTTCCATCATAGGAAGATACATATAGTAAATTTCCTTAAAATAACTGATAATATTACAAGTATTTTTATGTCCTTTTTCTGCAATTTATGCTTATATATTAGATTGTCTCATTATTGTAATTAAATAATTTATCAAAAATATAGAGGACATATAAATAATTCACATTTGTTTTTTCTATAAATATATATTTTGCATCCAGAATATGTATTTATATATAAAATTAATCATACAATTAGATACAAAATATTTTCTTTTTTGCATCCTCTTAATTTTTTCTTTAAAAAAATTAGATAAGTTTCTTAAACTCAATTTAGAGAGATATTTAAATCTTACCAGAATATTTATAAAACTTTTTGAATGTATTTAACTGTACTTTGAAAACTTCCTGTAACGATGTTGGTAATGTACGAGATAAAAAAGCGAGTCCATGCTGATCACAGATGCTAATTAATTGACACAAAGATTCATGCAAAGCTATCTGCAACAGAAATGATAAACGTAATTAAAAACGATCTATTAAGATAATAATAAGAAAATAATAAATAAGGGAAAGTATCATACTTTCGGCCAAAGCAGAGCTTACTTAATAACACTAATATTTATATATAGATTTACAATTTTATAAAGTGCACGCTGATTCAGTTTGTCGGACTTGTAAAGATATTACCTTAACATAAGATGGTATAGTGCGTTCCACAATTAATTGCAAGAGATCAGCAATAACATAAGGACTTAATCGGACCATAGCTTTCTTCAATTTTACCAGCATATTTGTCAATCTAAAAGAAAATGTCTATTACTTTTTTATGAAATCAATTTTTTCCATAAATAAGTTTTAAAATATTGATCATATCGGTACTATAGATATATAATGTTGAACATTTTTTAATTAATTAAATTTACTTTATGATATCGAGTGCATAACATCTAAATCGATGCTCGTCGAATTTATCGGCTACGTTTCTCGATGCATGAACAACGATGTTTATTGTGCGTCTGTATAATAATAATAAATTAGGTAATCTGTCTGTTATCAAATCTGTTTTGACTTTGATCAATGCTCCGCATATAGCAAGCACATCTTCGCACGATGATATATTCGCTTCATCGAATGACTTTAAACTGATCAGTATAATAAGATCGATCGTAATGTCAGGAATAAGTAAATGTTTCGTACTGATTATATCATAAGACAAATTCAATAGCCCTGACCAATATCTGTGTGGCATATCCAATGTTAATATAGTTTCCAACAGATTGTTGATCGCATTCAAACGCACTTTATTACGTTTAACATTCATATCTATTTTAATTATATTGCTCCAAATGACAAATGTATTTGTCCATACTGCTTCATCTTTTTGTGACAAGCTATTGATCTATATAAACAAGGAATAAGTTGTCAACATGCATAAATTTAATTACTATGTGTATTAATAAGAATATATTAATAAGAAATACACAAATATATTAATCAAAATATTACCGTTTGATCATGCAATAGTCTTAAGAATTCGTAAAATTCTTTTAATCTAGTAGACGTTAATAAGAGTTTGATCAAATTCTTATAAGGATGCTTCAATATTATAAACCATAAGTTGATGATCATATCTTGGATTTCAAACATTTTTCGATGCTGTAAAACAATGATAGACAATTGCACACTTTGTTGCAATAATTTATTATTTGTATTGTTTAAACTTTCTCTTGCCTGTAAAAAAGAAATTATTTATTTTTTAATATTATCCGAAATGCAACACGTAAATTGCACAAATATCACATTTAAAAAAATATAATTCCTTTCATACTTGCCATGAATATATTTTCGAGAGTTGCTTCAGTTAATCTTTTTAAAGTGTCAGTAACTTTTCTAGTTTGAAAAGTTACTTTTAACACCGCTATTAAACATCTTACATCAAAAGCATCATTTATATGTTCAGGTAATAATTTTAAAATAGTTTTAACTAATTTTTTTTCTGCCTTTTTAAAAATAACTTTTTGTTCGGCATCCAATTTTGATTTAACAACCTCCATACATTCCAAAATAATGCACATTGCTTCCTTGCATTGAATGCAACTTTTTATGAGTCTCTTTAAAGTGCTATATGTTCTTACATTTCGAAAAGAAAACTCACAAGCTTTCGAAAATATTTTATTTTGTGGTAATTGGTTTATTAATAATTTTGGTTCTATATACTGAAATAGATCGATTCCAGTCTTTTCTAGTAAATCTAGAAATTTTTTATTGCATATTTTTATTAGCATTATATTTTTGCGTATAAATAGTAATTAAAAAATTAAGTTCAAATATCATACAAATGTTCTGAAGAAATAAAATTAAATTACCTGAAAATATCATATTGCATAACGCCGATATCTTGTCATTTTTTTCATATTTTTTACTAATAAAATACACAATCAAAAATATTAATGTTCTTATATTAGGGCTGAAATATATCATTGGTAAATGAAGAAATATTTCTAAATATAATTCAGTTTCAAAAGAAATTGTATTTGCCATTTGCATCCATTGTTCCTGTGATATCTGTTTTTTTAGCATTTGTAAAACTTCTAATAATTTATAGTTACATCCATTCTCCATCAACAGTTTCTGAAATAAAAAAAAAATAATTAGAACATAAAATTCACAAGAGATTATTTTACAATTATTAAAGAATTGAAAAATTTCTCAGCATTAAATTATTACTTACAACGTTAATATATTCGGTAATAGTTAATGAAAAGCTTTGTCCAATTTGGACAAGAATATGGTTTAAGAGACACATTACAAAGTGTTTATTTTCTTGAAGATATTCTTTATCTAATATATTAAACAATTCATGAAAGTTCTGTTCATTTGATTTTATATCAGTCAACAATAAATAAGTTATTTTTGATATTTCTTTGTCATATAATAAGGAAAACATATCTGTGTCATGTTTCAAAATAATACTCCAGGAATACTCAAGGCCACCTATTAAACCATGAAGTTTAATAGGTTTATTTGATATACTTAGCTTTAGTCGATGTAAAATAAGTTTATTCTGAAATTTCAATATAAAAATATTATGTGTGAGTTTTTTGCAAGAGTATAAAAAATATTTCATTTTCAACATTTAACATAGTATGTCAAAAATATTTTCAAATAAATAATATTTCCAATAATACCATGATAGTCTTGCAATTATCTTCTCCAAAATTGGTAATTCTTTGAATTAATTGTTGCCAAGGATCATTCAGAATTGGAAATAGTAGTTTCTTTGACACAGTATCTTTCGATATGTAATATGTAAACATATTCTGTATTTCATTCAATGAGTGCACTGCACTTAATAGTATTATGATAACAGTTTTGTTATAACTTAAGCACAATGACTTATTTATCAACAGCGATAATGCATTCCCTACTTCATCTAGGCAATTGATAAATTTTTCATGAGTGGATAATATTTTGGTATATTCAAAAATCTGCATACCTTCAAAAAGTGTAATAAGCAATTCTATTGTTGTCTTTAATATCAATATATTTTTACCTACAATCAATATTTGAAAAGAAAAGTTAATTTATATTTTTAATATTGTATCACTTCATAATTTTTTATTATGAATTAATAATTTTCTATTATGAATTAATAATCAATAATAAAATACTTACATGAAGTATTAGACTGTAATAATTCTACACAATCTGTATTTAAATAATATATTAATGTTTTTAGAGTTGCAATAGTTTGCGAATTCGAAAAATTACTAATCGCATTTATCAATTGGATTTTAAATTCACTTGGGAAAAAAGCAGATGTATTTGCTTTATATGTCTTTTTTGTTGCAACATGTTGCTTTAATGATATTAATAACTGCGAGATAAACTTTTGCTCCCGTCTTAATTTTGTGCTGGTATATAAAATTGCAATTAACAAATTTGTATGATCAGTAGTTTGTTCTTTTATAAGTATCTTATTTACAATATCCGGAATATTTTTTTCTATCAAAAGTGGATTGATATATGAAAGTTGTGTAAGTACTCTATAATGCACACATGATACATCATCATCCATCAAAATCTCACTTATAAAATTCTGAAAATACTCGGTTAATGTGATTCCATCTATGATATTATCGAAGTCAAGTGTTATGTCATTCAGTAGTTTGAGGAAAGAATCCAAAATTTCCCATTTATACTTTCCCGAAGAGTTAATTAGATTTCTGAAAAACGTATCCAACAAAATAGTATTTGATTTATATGTACCTATTATGGTATTAAAAATAAACTTGTAAGTCAAAAGATTACTCTGAAGATTTAATGTCTTTACATTTTCAGATAATATACAAAATAAATCTGAAAACATTAATTCATAACTTTCTTCAGTCTGTTTATTTTGTATAGATTTATTTTTTCCTAGCAGCAATTGTTGAATACACTTGTATGCTGCTATACTAAATTGATTTGTATTATCTCTATGTGTGTGATCAACTAAAATACACATAGGATATAAAATATCCTGTATAAAAATTAATCTCAAATCATCTCTCATAGTAATCAGCTGTTCATACATTTGCATCAGACTTTCGATAATAGTTATTACAGCGTTATTTTCCACAGATGACAATTTACATGGCTCAAACAGTTGATTAATCTTTTTTTGCATTATATTGTCATAGCTAGAACGTTTCAACACGTTATTTAACACAGCTTTTATCAATAAGCCTACAATCTTTGGTTTGGTTGTAAAATATTGTCGTATACTATTATTAACAAAAATTAAACTGCAGCATTCAAGGACCTCTTCATACATGTCTTTCATATCGGTCTTTAATGTTTGTACAAGCATCTCAACTAAACATTCTTTGATATCTGTTCTAATATTTTTGATATGGTTAAATTTCAAACAATTATTCAAAGCTTTCCAAGTATGATGATTCGTGGCACAAGTTTTACATAGCCACTCCAGAAGAAAGTCTTCTTTCCGAATAAGTGGCAGATCAACTTTACAAAATGCAGTTTCCGCTAATTTTAATCGCTTTGCTAAAGGATAGTCATCTGAGTTTAACCGCTTTAATAATTCTGTAAAATATATAGATTACATTTAAAAAACGATTGCAAAATGAATATAATTAACATTAGAATGCAGTCATAATAGAAGGCATAGGAAATTAGGAATAAGGAATAACGATTTCAACCTTTCAGAAATTAGGTATACTGAAATGCACGGTTTCTAGATACACGGAAATACATCGATTGGAATAATTATTCCTTTTTCCTAATTCCTTATTTCTTCTATTGGGATTGCATCCTTATAATAGATTAGAGGTTATGCAATCATATGTCGATACATATCTTGCAAAAGCCATACTTACCCCTTGACAATGTCATTGTACCAACTTATACAACTTCTTGATCTATAATATTTGTCCGATGTATATTTTAAACATAAATTTAAAAAATCAACACAACTATTATTCTTATTATTCTTCTGCTTGATTTTCCGATCTCCGACCCAGAAAAAATCACAGTACCACAACACAACTATTAAGGTGCCTTTTCATGCGCAGTACGCGGTAGCAAAAATGTCATGTTATGCCAATTTTTTATAATTGCTTCCGCTGTATTTGCTGCGCATGAAAAGGAATAACGGCAATAGCAAATGTATTAAAGTTTAACCTTAAATATGTGTCTTTTATTTACTCAGCTCGAAAATAATGGAAAATTAATGTGGAAAACTTAAAAACTTGTGATTATATAGCAACTTAGTGCAGTTATTTGGACAACTATCATTTTAGGTAATTATTTAGAATTTAGAATATTACTTTAAATCTTAATAAAAATGTACTCATTGTATGTCGTTATAAATGTTTAAAAAAATTTACATTTTTTGCAAATATTGCAGATTTTTTCGGCTCCGAATTCTTTGTTGTTTGTTGTTCGTTCGGTTGAACTTCAATGAGATGCGGCAAAATGTATTTTGCGTTGAAAATGCGTCATCTCATGTAAAATTTTTAACCAATAGTTACGAATTACTGTCGCAGCGTATGAAAAGTCAGCTTAAGGCTACGTTTCAAAACTCCTAACTATCTAAGGAAGATTTTATTTTATATGTTATAGTATACGTTACGTGTATTAGGGGCCGGTCTCACCAACTCCGATTAACTTAATCGGTCGATTAAGTGTCAACCGTGATTGGTTAATTCTGCTGAACAACAAATGCAATTGATCAATTTCAATGACTACATTTACATGGCTCTTAATCGGGTTTAATAACATTCGTAGTTATTACTCGTAGTGAAACTGGCCAATCACAATTGATCTATCCCTTCAAAGAATAGCTATAATTAGTCAATTTCATAACTACGGATGTTATTAAACTCGATTAAGCGTGCTGTGTAAACGGCTACATTTATACGGCATCTTTAAGGCCGATTGTTCCACCTTTGGTCAATTTTACCTGTTAGGTAAATCTGGCAATCCGCGCGTTTGATTGAGTAATCTTGCTACTTACCCAACAGATAAAATTTAGCATTGTTTGTTTTGTCTCTCGGAAGCTGCTCAGGGTCATTCCGAACAAACCCAGCGTACTTGAAATATAGAATTCACACTGTGTACGAACATCCGTTATACAACGTTCGACATTCATTGTAACAAGGAATGCATTCAGAAGCACGACCGAACTTTGATGAGCTTTTTTATCTGTTTGGTCTATATTTTTAGATCTAATGGAATATGCCAATCAAATGAGAACTAAAAATATAGATCAAACAGATACAAGAGCTTACTGAGCGCTCAGTGAGCAATCGTGCTTCTTGATACACCTAATAAGTGCATTCAGTATTATAAATATCTGTTCACTGAGCGCTCAGTAAGCTCTTGTATCTATCTGTTTGATCTATATTTTTAGTTCTAACATATTAGGTTGTTCGGAAAGTAATTTCGTTTTTTTTATGAAAATGAAAGACGATTTTCTTATAGTGAATAAATATTTTATTGAATTATACTTGTATATTGTCCATTCTGGTCCAATACCTTTTGCCATCTTTTTGGCAGTAGCATGATTCCACGCTCATAAAATTTTTGTTTTTTGCTGGCAAAAAACTGATCCAGGTGATTTTTTACTTCCTCATTTGAAGTAAAGGTTATACCGTCTAAAAAATTTTGTAGAGACCGGAACAAATAATAATCAGAAGGTGCCAGATCTGGAGAATATGGTGGGTGTGGCAGTATATCCCATCCAAGCTGTAAAAGCTTTTGGCGTGTTACCAAACTTGTATGAGTTTCTCGTCCCCAGTGATGATGCGCTTCAAAAATGGATCATTTTCTTGACGTTTGAGAAGCAAATCACAGACGTCAATGCGACGGCACAAATTTCTTTCCGAAAGAACATGAGGAACCCATATGTCGAGCTTTGAGATTAAACCTAGGCGTTTCAAATGATCATGAACGGTCGAATTCGATAAATTTAATCTCTCAGCGATCTCACGAGTTGTTATTCGCCGGTTTGCATCAATTAATGCCTTTATTGTGTCTTCATCAGCTTCAACTGGCCTTCCAGAACGTGGTGCATCTTCAACATCAAAATTGCCGGAATTTTGCAAACCAGTTTTGGCACTGGCGTTCTGTCAATACATCTCCATACACATCGGATAATTTTTTTCTTGCTTGAACAGCATTTTTACCTTTTCGATAGTAAAAAAATAAAATATGCCGAAAATGCTGCTTTTCACTTTCCATATTTGATAGGGCACCAACCAAAAACTACTGCGTAGAATCAATCGAACTTTTTTCACAAGCAAGCCTTGCTATATCAGCTGTCAAAATATATAATGATTATGCGGCTTAAGTGTGAAGTTGGCTGTGAAAAAATACAATTAAGTCCTCTGTTGGGAAAAAACGAAATTACTTTCCGAACAACCCAATAATTTCATTTGTATCTACAATCTGGTATAATTGGAATAGTAAATATAACGCAATGACGTGTAGACGTAATATACGTAATACAATTCAAGAAAATTCTAAAATATCTGAATGTTTTAAAATCAAGATCTTATCAAGATTAATATTATTATTTGATATTCAGTACTAAATAAAAGAATGAATAGTAGGTTACCAAGAATAATAAAGTATACGTATATAATGTATATGGTACATGTATATATTTGTAACAAAACTGAGTAAATATCGGAAAAGCAATGTATTATAATATTGTGAGAGTGACAGATAACGTACGAGTATTGATGAACGTCTTCTATCGTGGCACAAGAGGCAGTGGTATAGATAAACGTCTTCTATCGTGGCGACTGCTTGGAGACAACTGTGCTTCGCGACGATGAGTTATCGTCTTTAAATCTCAAGTAAAACAAAGAAAGTACTGCGACAGTCAATCGAGCGTCTATTCTTCCATTTGAAAAAATAAAGTAATTATTCTGCAACTTCAGATTTTGATTTTTTTGTTCTTCTAATTTCCTTCCTTTACCTTGTAAAGAGGTAGATTAATTATATATATTATTATATATACATGTATCTAAATTCGAATACATGTGTTCCTCTATGAATGCTCAATTCACCGCTAAGCAATAGTTTCGTTGTTTATTACAGTAATAGTATATTTAGGTGTTATACGGGTTAAATCGTAGTAACCTAGGATATTAGAATTAAACTATAATATAAAGTATTTAAACGGGAGATATATAATATAAACATATATACTAAGAATAATTATAAGTGGTAAATTTCTCTCTAATTGTTGTTGCAACTGCAATAATAAAAGGAGAATTCATTTTCATAAAATTTGAGACATTCTAAATTTTGATTTTCGAAAGGGCTTCTATAAGCCAGTGCTTGAGATTAGTTTATGTTACGTTATGTTTCTTTTGGAATAATTACCTCCCCTTAGAGATAAGAGCGCGCGACATTCCTTTGTGTCGTCTACGTTGGCTCGCTAAGAGAAAGAGATTCAATGAATATATTTAATTATTTTATTACTACTTGGTAATTATTTATTAACTTAGATCTCTCGAGATTATAGAAATGTATTGTTATATATATAGGAAAAGGTATTGTATAAATTTATATATATTTCTGTGAGCAATAACATTGGGTTGACGTTCAATATTTAAAAATTATTATTTTAGTCTTTAGCATTGTTATGCAATGCGTTAGGAGATACATTTATTAACTCGTTCCCTTTTCTTGTTTCATTTGTTGTTAATTAACTTCGAATTGAAGAAAAGAAAATGAAAATAAATGGAAATATGACTATTGTGCTTATATAGATATTGTATTACATTAATTATATATTGTGTTGCATTAGTTATATATTTCCGTAATTATAGCAAAAAGTAGAAATACATTCGCGTTTATTTTATCGGCGGACGTTACACCGCTCATTGAGCGTTGAGATCAGATGAAAGAGCTCATTGAGCGCTCAGTGAGCGGTTGTCATTCTGAATGCACCCAATGTCAGATGTCATATGCTGGATGTCGTACGTAGTGTAAATCCTATATTTCGAGTACGCTGGGTTCATTCGGAGCAATCCCGAGCAGCTCCCGAGAGACAAAACGAACAATGCTTTTACCAAAAGATGGAACAACCAGGCCTTAAGGCTGCCGCACACAAAATTCCAAAAAAAATTACTATAAAATTACTAAACTTTACTAAATTTATTAAAAAACAAAATTAATTAAACTTTACTAAATTTACTAAAAAACAAAATTAACTAAACTTTACTAAATTTTCCGTCTTTCCGCATGTTCTGTTCCGCTTGTTTTTATTTCCTAATATTACATGGAGCGCAAATTCCGCGAGGTTAGGTTTTATAAGTATACGTATGTCATGCACATGCGGAAAATTTAGTAAAGTTTAATTAATTTTGTCTTCCGCGTTTTCGCATTTCCACATTTTCGCGCTCTATGTAATCGCACCCTTAGAGTGCCGTCCCATATGCGGAAATTTACAGCGGAACAGCATGACCAATTACAATTCTGCACATATTATTAGTCTGCTTCCTTTTCTGCGATTGTGATTGGTTTTGCTGTTCCATTCCGCTGTATATTTCCGTTCATGGGACGGCACCTTTAGGCATACAGGCATCGCCGGAATCTGTAAAAGAAATTTGCGTAACAGAAAACGGTGGAATCAGCGGAATGAAGCCATGACCAATCACGAATGTTTTGCCAATTCCCAACCATGGGATTTTAAGACTTTTCCACTGAAAAAACTGGAAAAACTGCAACACTAGTGCGCACTAAGTGCAATTGTGTTGTTTCACTGTGAACCAGTTCAGTGTTTAATGTTTCACTGGCAAAACTGGTTATTCAATAAAATGATCGTACAATAACTCAAAATTATAATTAAGACGATTTTGAATATAAGATCGAACTAATATAGTCTATAAAAATAGTTGAATCTCTAACGTACAATATGTATATCTAAATAAAACTAAAAAAGTGATCTTAAAGAGTAATATTAAATATAAAAGAAACATTTTAAGTTTTTATTTTTTTTTTATATATCATAAAAGAGTAATATATCGGATTGTTGGTAACTATAAAATATATATTTACTTAAGGATAAGAGGAAAGTGATATTAAAAGAAATATTAAAAGAAAGTTCTTAAATACTACTATATATTATTACAAATGCAATAAAATGTTTACAAATAGATATAATGTAATGTTACAAAATTAGTCTGTAAGATTTTTGTGTAAAATTATTTATTGTGTTCTTCATTATGAAAAAATCATTTTAAATAAATTAATATTTTATTATATATTTTCTAACAAATTATTAAAATATTCACTAATTAATGTAAATATTACATACTAGTAGACCTGCATTGCCTGCATCATTTTGATGATAAAGAAGAACTGGTACATGATCATTTGCAATAATTTCTCAAATATCAAGTTTTTCATCAACAAGTGGAAGAATATCTTTTCCTTGACGTTGTGTATATTATGCAATAGCAGTTGCTACAAGTATTATCATTATTGTATTGATTTATAAACAAGATCCATATGCTAATATTGGAAATCTATGTTTCCAAAGACCAAACGTATGTTCTACTCTAGTTCTTGTTCTGATATGTGATTCATTATATAATTGAGCAGGGCCTTGAAAATTTAATAATGATGTAAATAAATAAGGTCTTGTAGGGTGTGTAAACAGAATCATCTAAAACAGAAAGATTTATTATAACTGTATAAATAAATAAATAATCAATTATGCTAAAATAAACAAGTTCATATAATAACATAAATCATGTATTATTTTATATAATTAAAATCATATAGTATTTAATATAATTATAATCACATATTCAATAATAAGCAATTGTGATTTGTTTCAAAAAGCATTCTTAAATTACTATTTTGAAATATTGTTGAATCATAAACAGAGTTGGGCCATCAAGCTACAATATCCATTATTTCATTATCTACGTTTATCACAACTTGTACATTTAAGGAAAAATATGATTTTCTGTTTCTAAAAACTTCTGCATCATCACCATCTATATTACACACACGCACGCACGCACGTACGCTCGCATTTTGGAAATGCAACAATAATAAAAAAATTTCTCTAAGTTCGTAAAATCTCTTCTTGTGTTTGTGGTAATTTTATGCAAATGTTTGCTAATGAAGTTATAGCTTCAGACACTCTCACAATTATTCTTGAAACTGTAGATTTATCCATTCCACCATAATCACCCATTGTTATAAAAAATCCATTAGTCGAGAAATTGATTCGGCATGCCTTGATAAATTATATCTACAACATTTAAGCGAAATATTACAAATTTTACATCAAACTTTATTGTCATTCTCTGCCAACCAACCTTTAAAGATATTTTCGTCTAACCAAGATCTTCTAAATTTTCGGATACATATCTTTTTGTGGGCCTTTTCCTGACTCCATTGCAATTAATTTTCTAACCTAAAATACTTTACCTCATTTCTATTTTCCTCTTAGGATTCCTCGCACCTCCTGTTGCCCGATTTGTTGCGCAGACTTCACGATTCACATGGAATCACATCGATTCTTTAACCTAATCTAATAGCTACAGCACTAAGCTATAAATAACGCGCACGCGCGAGTGCGGGACATATCTGGCATCACTGCTACAGTATATACAGTAGCGCAACTCTACCGATTTTATGTTGGCCAAAATGAAGTGGATTATACGTGAAATAAGCAAGTTGCCCCGTCTCATTTCCTCCCTTTTTTTATTGTTCTTTCTCTTTCTTTCTCTATTTAAATAAACGTTTTAATGCGTTTCCACTTAAACAATTTATCTTTCAAATATACGAGTATATGGTTCAGAGTAGAAATTTAGAGGAAAGTATTACGTGTATTGTCCATTTGGTGAAATGTTGTGTGAGAAATCTCGAGAGATTGGTCTAATTTTTGTGAAAAAGTGAACAAAAAGTAACATAGAAAATCGAGCAAAAAGGATTTCTTTTTATTTATTGTATTTTTAATTTATTTTTGGATGTATATAAATATATATAAATTTCTTTTATATCTCTCAGCTTTCTCATAACATTTTCATAGATATTAATTACATAATATTTCTTTATACAAATATACATTTTTAAATTAATTTAATATTTTTCTTAATATTTTTCTACATTTTCATTAAGTTTAGATTATTTCATTGTAATAGTAGGTTTATTCGTTTGTATACGTTGCTCTAATATGCTCCTATAACAGCTCTTACTCACTCCAACACATTTGTTGGAGTGCGACATGAATAAATCTAGTGAGTTTTGACAAAGCGAAAAAAGAATGAAAAGAGAAAGAAGTTTAGATGGTAACCATGGCAACGCTAGGTAACTTGCTTATTTCACGCATGCGCACCAAGGATGCCAATCCAAGGACGGTATATGACATCTCGACTAACGCCATCAGTCGGCAGCCTAACGCGACCGCTGGATACACACCCAAGTATGAGTCTTTGCCCATGTGCGGTTCGGCGCTTTCGCGTTTTGGTTTTCGGGCGTGCTAAGAGCGAACGAGACAGTCGGGCGTGCTAAGAGCGAACGGGATAGTGTTTCACTGGAACGTGAAGCGACTGAAAATGTTTTCTCGGCCGCTCGAACGTGTGTCAAGACTGTCGAGAGGCAAAAGGACATTATAGATAACATATAATTTTTAATAAATTGTAGTAAATCCTTTTTAATAAATTATAGTAAACCCTTCCCATTAATCCACAAAGCATAAAACATGTCAAAAAGTAATTTTATGTAAAAATTTGTATTGTGTATTTTCTCGTACTTTATCGTTAAACTAAAAGTAATGCATGGGTAAAAGGAACTATGAAATTAATATGCATTATATTTTTTAAACATATGTTTATATTTTTCAATTATAATAATTATTATAAAAGTTATGAACAATATATCGCCCTTCTCTTCGGCCTGTCTCCGCTCTTTCTCTTACGGACGTATTCCTGCAAAGTTAATTTGATTTGTAAAT